TATTATATTTTCTAAATAATTAAATTTAATTATAATTTATAATTAATAATAATGTAAAATTTACACAATTTTTAATTAAATATATTATAAATATATTATTTTAAATAAAACTTTTTTTTTTTTTTTAATAATATTAATATTAATTATATACAAAAATTTTTAACTTTGATTTTAAATTAATTATAAAAGTTACAAATTAATATATTTAAATTATTATAAATTTTATTAAATAAATTAATAAAAATTAAATATAAAATAAAAATTATTTATAAAGTAATATAAATTAAAATAAATAATTAAATAAATATAAAATTATTTATATATATTAATACTTTTTATTAAATTATAAATTATTTTTTAATAAATTATTTTTGATATATTTAAAATTAATTTTAATTTATAAGTAAAATTACAGATAAGTTTATATAAATTATATGATTTAAATTTAATTTTAATAGCATATCTATTTTAAAGAAATATTTTTAAAGTATTTTTAATAAGAAATAGTTTGAAATAATTTTTTTAATAGATATTTTTAAAAATATTTCTTATAAAAAGAAATATTTTATAAAAAAAAATAAAAAATATTTATTTCCTATATTATAAAAAAGTATTTTCTATTATAAGATTTTAATGATATGAATATCGGCAACTGATCCCGTATAATACAACTTGGAAATACCCGGGTATTATACTAAGAATTATATATTTTATAACTAACTAAAATCCAATTTTTATAACATCATTATTAATGAAATGTATTTTTTTTTTTTAAAAAAAAAAGCCACGATTACAAATTTGTAAATACCCTGGGTATAATAGTCAGTAATTGTTATTTTAGAAAGTAACAAAACATTTTAATAAATTTATATATTTGGATGCAGAAATAATATCAAAATTAAAGACACACTTTCCATAAGATCGTACTTATTTGTGAAAAGGAATCAAATAAAATAAGTTGGATAATCTATTTACTTTTCTTTATTAAATTTATTTGACCGTTTCCTAAGAAAAGCTTCTCGATAGTAATCAAAAAGAATAAAGCATATTTGTGCATACGCAGCTAACAGATTTTTATTTTTTAATTTATAAATGAAATATTTAAATAATGGTACTTAATACTAGCCGGTAATCGTTTTCAAAATTTTTAATTTTTGAAAATTAAAGCAATTTATTATGCAACTACACATTTAAATTCGATAAATTCTATAATATTATCGTGCTCAGGTTAAAGTCGTGTCTATGTTGATGCGACATCAGAATTTTTTGAAGCTTTTGTATTTACATACAACTTTGCATTAATTTTCTGATCATGTAAGCACAGTTTATTGATAAAGGTTACATAGAAACGTTTCTCGAAAATTCGAACAAAATAAAATATCAACTTATAAGTATGTTTGTTTTTTAAAAGTTAATATAAATTTACTGAAAAATCTTATGTTTTTAAACTATTGCAATTTTGGAAGGTGCAGTTTGTTTATCCAACGTAAATAAATCTCGTTTGACAAATTTCTGGTGGAAATAATTAAATTAAACTTCTTTTTTGAAATATGGAAATTTTCATGAACCTTTCAAAACTGTATAAATGATGGATAATTTATTATTTAATTCTTATTATTCGAGTGCTAACTGAGATCCGTATAAAACACATCCCAAATGATATAAATCGAATATTACGTTTTTCCGAAATCCGAGATCGGGATTTCGATCTTCTTATGGGAAGTTGGGTTATTCAATTTCAATATTGGTATATATTTTGTTGAGATTTCGAGTCTTTTATTTTTCAGACCAAACATATGTTAAATATCGAATGAAAGATAGTCACAAAATGAATAATTTAAAAGTAAATACCGATTAAAAAGTATTATCAATGAAAAATACGACAAAATAAATATACTAAAAGATAGAGTTCACTAAGAAAAATCATAACTATTGCAAATCCGATAATTTGGGCCGTGTAATACTTTTTTTATTAACGGTAAATTAGAATTGACTATTTAATATCAAATGACATTTTAAATATTACCGGGCTTAATTATGCAGGAACTTTTGATAGGCAGAAGGTCTTTTTTGGAATTTGAGTTCATGATATAGATCTTATTATTGACAATTGTAATGGTGTTACAAATGCACCTCAACTGTTTCTGAATTAAAATTAAGAAATGAGATATTTTATCATAAGAATGCGTTAAAACTAGTCCAACAATACCTATAAATTCTGGTAATGGTTCTGTATCAGCAAAACGATCCAATACCATCTATGAAAGGAGACCTTTAAGCGCAATTATCAAGTCCACAAGGAGTTTAAAAAGTCAAAGCTTAGCTTTAGAGTTTGGTAATTTGCTTTGATACTTTACTTTTTTTAAAAGAAAACTAGTAAATAATTTACTAATAAAATTTACTTTGTATACTATGTATAATATTTTACGTTTCCAAAGTACTAGAGGTTGACATCTAATTTTTTTTGAACGTAAATTGATAATATCTTATATGATAATATAACAGTCTTCTTTTGATTGAGAATGATTTGACATTTCCTTACCTTTTAATATTTATTGAATTTCATTTATTATTTAAACTCCAACAAATAGAATTTATAGTTTCCAGGTTCCTTTCTATTTCATATAATTACATAACTATAACGAATTATTTTAATATAATAAACTTGAATTCATGAGGGTAAGATCCATTTTTCAACGGGATGGAACACTTTGTTATCCAAATTTAGTTAGTCTAGAAATTATCATTATTATTTTTAGTTAGACTTTGTAGATCAAGCGCCGACGATTCCTTATTTATATTAGTTTTTCGCTATTATTAATAACCAATAAACATGAAATGATCTTATCCTGTTCCCCCCTATTTGATGGGCTCATACAAATCCGTGTAACTTTGTCTTGGAAAATATTTTCATTTCGCGGAAAAAGAATGAGCGAAAAAAAAATACTATTAAAGAGCAAAAAAGAAAAAAAGTAAAAAACATATAATAATAAAGAAAAAATTTTCTCAAAATTTTTAACGTTCAACATGTATATTTTAATTTATAATTTATTAAATTTTAATAAACAATGTATATAAAACCCCATATATACAGTTATACACAGTAAATTTTATTATAAAAAGTGTTAATTAACTTTATTAATACTGTTTCAAGTATGATGAAAATTAACTTTTGAACACTTCATACCCATTAAATGACTTTACTTATTCAACAAACGTTAATTTTATTTGACCAAAGTGTTTAAATTAGTGACAAAGTATCTGCACAAAAATATAACAAAAAATAAGTATAACTCTATAAGTATTCGAACTAACTTGATGAATATTAAATATTTGAATAGTCTCATACCTACAGAATTACTTTATTTAGTCTTCAAGAACGGTTTTCTTTAGGTAAGCTGTTGTAAATGTGTTAAAAACAAGCGCGGTACAGTATATTTTTTTTGCAGAATCTCCTGTAAACCTCAAGTATTTTAAGTAGTTTAAGTAATAAAAACTAATATTATATAACTCTATATCTTTTATACCTGTTCAAGCAATTTTGGTTAAAGAGGTAAAGAAAAAAGGAAAAGAGAAAGTGTGTATGGTAAACCGTTAAGATTCCCTTAGTTTTCATATGGTCTATGCGGAAACCACCGTATTTTTCCGAAAATAAGCAACTTTTGCCAGCCAAGATTAATTGTTATTACATAATCGACTTCGGAGAAATTTTTATAAGATTTATTTAAAAATAAAAAAAATATATATCGTTTTAATCTTCTAGATTTTCTCATCTATAGAAATAATAATTCCTTATTTATTTTTAATATACTTTGCAAGAACTTATTTTTTCTCTTAAATTGTATTCTTTTTTTTTTATGAATTAATTTAATTTTCATGGCCATTAAAATTTTAATTTGTAACTAATATTAGAAATCAATCTTCGGATTATTTCAAAAATGATTTTAAAATACAAAAGAAAATATTATCTATTGTTCATGTATTTTCTCTAAATAGCAAGCATACGTTGACTATATTCTCATAACTAATGTTTCTTTAAAATTATAATATTAGATACATTAATATTAAAGGATTAGAAAACTTTTCTCATGCATCTGTTTGATAACTCTCATGTCGTATCGAACTGGATAAAATGGTAGTTTCATTATACTAATAATAAAACAAGATCAGTGATCTCGTTTCACCTTTTTCGCTTTGTCATATATTTCAAATTAACAAAATAAAGTTTGTTGAAGGTTGTCATGCTATTTGAAATAATGAAGAAAACGGGAGTTGTTTTAATAAAGTTTTTAAGCTGAAAAGTTTATTTATTATTTAAACTGCACAACTTAATCTTGGCATTTGACCAGGAAAGTGATCACGAAAATTATTACGTAATATATATTAGTAGTCCATTTTCTAGTTTGTTTTATTTTTTTTTATTCTACTCCTTTACTTTATGATACATTTTTATTGGAATTTTTTATTTTATAATCCAGGCTGTCGCAAAAAATAATCTTGATGAAAAATTTAAAAACTACTAAACAATGCAAACGATAACCTAGAGGAGATATCAGATAGTGATTACCGTGAAATGACAATATGGAGAAAGAATTAAAATGTGTGAATGGTAAAATTGCAACAAGTATATCTATCCTAATCTCAATTAACAGTTCTTGCAAATATTTTTTAACAATTAGATTTTGATTTGCAAGCATTTAATACATCTTAAAGGGCCAGTTTATGCAAATTATCTTAAAAGGTAATTAATGTAATTTAATTTAATAAAGGTTCAAAACAACATTTAAAAAATATTGATTTTCTATCATAATTCACCAGTAAATAAACGCGTTTGTCCATTTATTTATTAACTTTAATTTGGCCGAAAAAAAAGGAAATTTTGGAGAAGGTAGCTTTTTGTCTGTTTAGAGCATGAAAAAAGAGAAATGTCACTACAATGTTAGACAAGCATTCATATTAATGATATAATAATTTCAAACAATAATTTAAAACTCACCAAATCATTTCTCCGTTTTTCTTCTCTTATTAAGAAGAGCTCGAGTTGAACCAATGGGTTTTTGACCATATCCCACCATATCAATGCGTAACTTGCTCTTCATCCTCTTGGAACCCTCGGTCCGATTTGGTTTAACTTTCTTCGGACTGTTTACTTTTCGGATCGGTTCCTTGTTTTTGAGCTTCTTTTCGTCTTTCTCGTTGTCTTTACGCGTATTAACTGGTGGGGGCACGTCCGCAAAGTCAAAGCTCATGTTGAGTATAGGAGACTCAACCTCTTCTAAACTGTCATTAATTTCCTTTTCTTTCCTGGCCTTTTCGTACTTATATAATTCATGGTGAAAAACTTCAAGAGAGTTCATTTTTTTTGATAGAAGTGTTTGTGTGTGTGTGTGAGTTTGTTGAAAATGGTGAAAAAATGGTTTCAATAATTTGATCAAAAAGATCCCTTTTTAACGAAAAACTTTTTTTTCTGTCATAACAAAACGCGACGCGAGAATAGAATAAGGTTTAGTTAGATCACGGTAAATTCCCAGATATGGGTCTTTGCTTTGAGATTTATCATGTGATCTCCCGTTCAATGGCCGCGAAGTTCCGATTGATTTTAATAAATTTTATTTTTGTCACACAATTTAAGGCAAATTCCTATTTGGGTTCCACCCCTTTTAATTTATTTCCCGCATCCAATAATTTTGCATTGATATCATTAACTGTATAATGATCTGTTTAAAAAATGATAAGTAATAGTTAAAACATAAAAAATAAAATTTTTGTTAAAATAATAATAAATCAAATTAATTAATTTTAAAATTTAAGATTTTTAAAAATAGTATTAATCAGTTATACTTAATTATAATTTATATTATACTGTATATATATTATTA